AATAATTTTAGCATCTGTCAAAATTTAATCTAAAATTATTTGTTTTCTAATCAGAAATACTGCATCAGTACTGGTATGTCAATATCAAAAGAGGTACCAGAGTTTAGTACTGATTTCCCCTAGTATTATAGACAAATCAATTCAGTTCTGGCTTAATACTGCTGTACCAAAATAACAGAATTATTTCAGTATTGGTTCCAAAATACAACACTGAAAGAAATAATTCGATGTTTTAGAATTATTTCCAGTTTTCCTATATTTTACTGCCACAGTTCAGCCATGCAGAATGGCGTTATCCGCATATACACCAGTGGATGCTAATCGAGTAGTCAAAATATATATAGTTAATATTTGGGTCATTGTAACTGTCATTGTAAATTGCTCATTAGACTCTGGCTATACTTAAAAAAGAGCATATAATTGGTTAAATACTACTGGTTTGGATTAATTCGTAATCCATTATGGTTTAGTTATTTACAAACAGTTAAAATATGGGTTCAGTATAATTATTATTCCTTAAAATCAGTATTATCATTTTCAGTATTTATTCAATTTGTTAAAATTTGATCGAGTTAAACTTGAATGTATCTGGATAGAGACTACTTAATTTGAGTATTGCTCTATACTGTACATATATAATTATTGAATATATATACACCCTCCATAACAAGATAATGCCTCTATATATAACGTGCGTCTGTAGGATTTGTCTAGCATATACGTATATATATATATATATAAAACATGAAGTACCAATCAATTCATGTCGGTGTGTGACAACACTCAATTATCCTGACCATACAGCTGTAAATTTTCCATTGTCCATGAAACATCTGATTTTGGTTGGTAATTTTATATGTGCGGCATGAGAGAGGAATATAAGGGGGTTGTTATAGTTGCGTGGGATTGCATTTTGCGCACAACGCTCACCCCTAGAGCGCCATTTTCCTTAATCCGACACCATTAGCATACTTGAAATCAATAGACAATGGCTACCAGTTAGCATATTCTTGCGTGACAACAACTACTTTGACTACTTTTACCTTCGACAATATAATGGTGGTCGTCACTTTTGTCCAGCCCTTATTCTTTTTTTTTCTTATAATATCTCTTATCTATAACTTTAAGTTTCTAGTATAGAAACTCGTGCGTATTTATATATTAATAATTTTCTTAATGCATTTTAATAGTTAGTCAACAATATTCACTATAACTATTTTTATAACTTTATTATATATAGGTATTCAAAAGAGAATAAAGTATTTTATAATCATTTTAAACTATTTCGAACTTTAATAAGAATTATTATTTCTATAATTTTATTACTAATATATATATATATATATATATATATATATATATATATATATTATTACGATCTAAAAAATGCTTATTTTTTCCACAGAATCCATGAAAGAGACAAAATACAAATATTTCAATTGGGACAATGAGGCGATAAATTCCGGAATAAATCAGGTAATTTTTATCTTAAATTCTTCGAAAATTTTACTTTTAACTTCAATAGAATTTTAGTCCGCTCTTTTTTTTAAAAGCTTGTTTTATATGGCGTTATGAATATAACATATTAAAATCATATTTAATTGAGAAATGAATAACTCGTGTTATATGTAAACCAATTTAAAATACACCTGCAACATATTTAATTTATTTGCAAATATTTACATACACCTCAGTTTCGTTGAACAGCTGTAGGAATTGATAATCACTTATATATATTAGGATTATAAGCCTGGACAAAAGTTGATCAGTTAGACACACTTGTGTATATATATATATAATAAAGGAATATATATATATTTTATATAATATAGATAATTATGCCGGCTTTAGGTATATTTGATCAAATCAAAGTTTTTATATTAACAATTATTATCTATTATCAAATAAATATTTACTTTGTACCAAATAATATTTATTTGAATTCAATAAATTGTATTTGTAACATAGAGATATTTGGACCAATAATTTCTTTATTTGAAACAAATACCATTTTATTGATTCAAATAATAATTATTTAATATATAAATAAATATTTATTTGATATGATGTTTTGTGTATGACAAAAAGTATATATATATATATAAAGTTTTGACTTAGAACTATATATACACTTATTGTAAGCGACGGGGAAAGAACAAGAATTTTTTCTTTCAAACTTTTTGTTGAAACAAAGAAACAACCGTATACAGTTTAAAAAAGTTATAAAAGTTTTAAAATATTTATATAATATATAATATAATTACTAGAACAACAAACAAAAATTTGATGTCAATAAACTTTTTGCTCTCTGAACAAAATTCATTTGATTCAAATAATCTGTTACTGGACAATTATTAAATATTTATTTGCATTAATTATTAAATAATTATTACAAATAAACATTTATTTGTATTGAATATTTAATAATTATTTTTTTTGAGTCAATTAATTGGTACATTTGTTTCAAATAAACAAATTATTGCGGTCTATAAATATAGAATTTATTTAATTCAAATAAAAATTATTTGGTTTAAGTATAAATATATTATTTGCTCTGCAAAAAGAAGTATATCTTATTTTAAGATGTTTTGGTAGGGTTTTCACCACATCATGACATCTTAAACATCGTAAAAATGCTATACCAAAACATCTTAAAATAAGATACTTATTCTTTTTGTTGCTTGTGATAATCGTTAAGTAATCGATTATTTGAATCAAATAAATTTTTTTCAGTGCAATAATACTTATTTGCTACGTCTCTATTTTAACGAGCAATATTTGCTGTAACAGAAAACTTTTTCTGAGTAATAAAATTTAATTTTTAATTTTTCTCTCTATAAATTTAAATTGATGAGATTTATTTCACAGAAAATTAAAAGGCATTAAAATAAGCTGGAACGCTTATTATTTTAATCCAATTTTGCTTATTTTAATACCAAAATGGATAAAAATAAGCAAAATTGGATTAAAATAATAAGTGTTCCAGCTTATTTTAATGCCTTTTAATTTTCTGTGTTAACTATGATGAAATAGTTGGAATTCAGCAACTGCGAATCATTTCAGTAAGATTTTTACACTGAAATTCAGTGACAAATTCACTGAAAATAAGTAAAAGTATATTATTGATTTAAACAGTTTATATGGAATCTGCATTATCATGAATCGGTAAAACAGATTTAACTGTTTCAATCAGTAATACTTTTATTTATTTTAAGTGAAATATAACTGAATTTCAGTGGAAATTTTACTGAAGTGATATATTGTTGCTAAATTACAACTATTTCATTATATAGTTATCTCACTAATTTAAATTTACATTCTACACTGAAAGAAAAAATTGGTTAGGATTACCATTTTTGAGATGACCATTTTTAGTTAGTAAACTATACTGCTGTTAATTTATTAATAGTGGTTACTATTTTTATTGGTTGGCATAACTATTTTATTAGTTCGTTTAACTGTAGTTAGTTTGTTGGAATAACAATTTAATTAGTTATACCCTAACTAACAAAATTGTTAGGCTGACTACAACTGAATGGTAACAGTAACTAATATATAAATTAGCAACAATAATCTTACTAACGAAATCGTTATAGTACAACCAATCGTAATTCTCATCAATGTAAATTTAAGAGTAATGTCATCTTGGCGCCTATTTAAGAATATTTTCCATGCATTTTATTCTTACAGTTATTGAATATAATATTCTTAAAATATAAAAATAACACTTCTTAAATTAATGAAATAGTCTGCAGAAAAATAAAAAAAAAATTTAATTCAATGAGGGTCAGTTTCACCAACTGCGGTTAAAAGTTAATCAGCGATTAAATCCTTATAACCGACCAATCATGAGCGGTTAAATTGGCTTTAATCGCTGATTATAACCTTTAACCTGAGTTGGTGAAACTGGCCCTAAGTGTTTCTTATTTTAATGAATATTATATTCTAACTGTAAGAATAAAATGCATGGAAAATATTCTTAAATAGGCGCCAAGAAGGTATATATAGTTGAATTTAGAATACAATTTTTTCAGTGTGATATATATTAAATATTTTATGCATATATACTAAACTCTATAGTGCAAGAGAGAGATCGATATTTTTTTGCGCATCCTGTTGTAAAAGAGCGTGTGATTTTAAGTTTATTTTAAGTATTTTATATATATAAAAAAAAGTTCTGTTTGACATGCTTCATTATATATATATAGCAGGTTTTTCATTCATTTTATCAAAGAGGCAATAACCTCCACGTCTTCGCACATTATCCTGATGTGTGTTGTGTTGTTTTTTTTTTTCTTTTTTTTTATGCACTGCTTTCCGCATATAAGCGAGCGCACTCGGCCTTCTCAGAGAAATACGGACTCGATTTGATAACGATTGACATCCGATTCCGGGATTAATTGCCTGTAACGTTACTGAGTTCTGAGGAGGAATGAAGACGAAAAAAAAGCAGGTAGAAGAATGAAAGACAAAGATGGAAAATAAAAAAAAGGAAAAGAACTGCAAATGAGTTTCTCATATATGTACAAATACATTAGAACAGAACCAATACATAGTGCGGGTGTTGGTTCTTAGGGGCAGGGGGGGAGGGGGGTTTGATGAGTGGGTGATGGATAAAGAGGGCGTTCAAGAGGTTACCCAATTGGTCGATCGTCTGGTAATGGTAGGTGGGCGGGGGGCGTATCACAAGTAGTCGTGATGCGCAGTGTGGTGCGCGCGTGATGCCCTTTCTCGCGGTGGGGTTCCTCCCTATGTGTGTCTAACCCCTTTGAGGGGGGGCATAACAATCTTTCACACACACACACACACAGCACTTAACCAAGTAGAGCGATAATTCCTCACGACAAGCTCCTTCTTAAATCTTGATCTCACCTTTCGGGGAGAATCGTGCGCAGTGGCCAATATGCTTTAGGGCACTAAAGGTGGGGCACGGGGTACCCATCCGGGAGCAAAAGAAATGGGGTGGGTGGCGATCCTTTAAGTGGGGAGGGAAAGGGCAGGCAGTCTGGGTGCGCTTCGAACCGCTGAACGGAAGCCAATCCGCTCGAATCCGGCGGAGCGCGAGCAGTCACGGGTGCTCACCGGCTGAAAATCTATAGTTTGTTGTAACACACTTGAATTATTTTTTGTTCTTCTTTTTTTTTGGGGGGGAAATCAACCCTTCTCCGCATCAATAGCCCCACTTTATATTTGCGCTTGCGTACTTTGGTGTTTTGTCACATAATAGTTATTTTTGTTATATCTTTGGGTGTTTATTATTCAGAAATCAGTTATAGAATGAAGTGTCTTGGCATTTTAGTGATTTTTATATGAGTTTTTAAAACTTTTGCAAGTTTTTGATTTGAAAAATAAATATATTGACTATGGATGGGAATAGATAAATTTTTTTGGGTATAAAAAATAAGGACTGGTGGTGATATGATGATTGGCGGTGGTGTTGTAACACCTCCGGGAACTGCCAAATCGGCAGCAGTTATCAACGAGATGGTTATTGATGTAATTGGAAGTGCTAGTGTCAGTGGGAGTGGTAGTGGAAGTCCAGCGACGGCCGCTGTTAGAACTTCAACAATTGACAATAATGAAAGTGGCAGTAATAATAATAACAATAGTATCAGCAATAACAATAATGATGCACATGTTGTTGTTGGTAATGTTGCAAATTCAACAATAGCAGCAAGAAAGATTTGTTGTCAGGATGAAGATACACCACCAAGTAGTACAGTGACAAGACCTTGGGAACCACCATCTCCAACTTTATCACAACAACAAACAAGATCTCATTTGTTACAAATGCATCCTGCCCGACATCATTCACATGCACAACATCATCATCAGCAGCTCAATGTTCAACCAACATCAATGATTGATGGTTTGTTGCATTATTTTTTTATCCAATTTTATAAACCATAAGGTTTACTAAAAACTATGATTTGTATATATTGTTTTATTTATAGCATTTAAAATTACTACAATATATATACTAATTCTAAAAGGTTAATGTAGTTATAACTGCGATAAAAAGAAAGTTTAACAATAACTTATAGTAACAGAAGTAATAGAATAATGCATATTACAATGTTATTTAAATATCACATTGCAGAGATAATTTCTAAAGCATTAAGAATATATCATTGGGATTTATCATGAGATGTGCATCAATTTTTCACAATATGAATACACTTAAAATTTTATATTTTTTCCTTGTCAGACCCATATTGGAGTATGCCTCTCTAATTTGGGTTTCTATAATATACAATCAATAAAGTTAGAATTGAACGAGTGCAAAACAGATTTTTGCGTTTTGCAGCAAGACAACTACTTCATTTACCTTTTGACAGATACACTCATGACTATACAGCAATTTGCGCAGGTCCTTTTGAACATTCCTTTGATGATATCCAGATTTTTGTTTCTTGATTTAATATTTTTGTATAAACTCTTAAACAGTTTAATACAATGCCCAACATTATTGGCAATGATTAATTTCAATGTTCCATCTAGAGTATATCTAGAAATTATTCACTGTTTTCTGAATCACTTCATAGAACAAATTATTTATATCATTAAATGATTAATAGAATCTGTAGGGAGGCTAATCGACTTTTGAATAAAATTGATTTTTTTGATAAATAATGTTACAAGATTCACCACATTTCTACGAAGACATGTACTTGATCTTAATTAGTAATACAGCCATTCTAGCCATTTCTAACTATAATTTCTTAATACATGTTATTAAAGAAATAACTTTAGATTTAAGAATACTTGTGTATGAAAGGGCATGACCCGTTAATAAATAAAATGAAAATATAGTTTGAAAAACTTCATTATTATCAAACAGTAAAAACGCTAACTGATGGGCTCAGAATGATCCGGCTATCTGGATCATTTTGATACGCGTACACTGAGAGAAATAACGATTTACTGTTACCATTTAGTTAGTCATGACTATTTCGTTAGTAAGGTATACTCTGAAAAAAATTTGAGATCTTCAACTAATGTTGGATTGTTGACTGGAAAGTATAGTTATATATAAAGTAACTACTTTTTTAGTTAGTTTAATTTTGTGTGTTTAACCACTTTTTATGAAGTTAATAATTAGTAGTTCAGTTTACAAAAAATTTAGTTGAATCAACTATACTAAAACTAAAACAACTACAAAATTTCGTTCTGCCAATCACAGAAAAAACCCTGGATAAATTATTTGTTGCAGATAATTTTAACCAATGCTTAAAAATGATAACCCCAACCAATTTTTTCTCTCAGTGCGTGCAGCAAAAATGAACCTCGACTTATTTTGAGTTTCACTCAAAATGATCATGATTTTTATTATTTTGAGTCAAAGATAATTTTGACATTTATTATCAAATAACAAGTAATTATTCATAAAAATATGAATTAAAATAATTGTTTCTATGGAGTTCAAAGCTATAGTATATATAGGCTTTATTTGTGTTACAATATATAAGTTTCTTTTTTTTAAACGAAATGATTAAAAATTGACGAGATTCTTTGTTAGTATATATATCCCTAATATCGAATATATTTGCGCATTCAAGGTTTATAATTTTGTTGTGTATGTGTCATGATTATGTTAGTTAATTAATAGCTTATGCAATTGTTCACATGATAATGTGCGAGTATATACCTATTACTTAATTTTTTATATCATACTGTAAAGATGTTGTGTATATGTGACGCTCCACGAGAGAAGGGACCTAACGTGCTTTTGACTTAAGGTTCGCTTTTACCGTGCAATGACACAGTGAATGAACCTTAAGTCAAAAGCACGTTAGGTCCCTTCTTTCGTGGAGCGTCACATATGCAAATACGGCTTAGGTATAAGTTATAAGTTAAACAAACCACCCCTTTATAAATGAGTATATATAGGTTTTCCAATATGTATATACATAAAGAAAATTATTATGTTTATATGTTTAGCTGTAAGACACTTTCTGTATTATAGCTGCAACATATACTCTCTAAATTTTGAATTAGTTTAAAATAACTAATTTGCCAACAAGAATTTAGTCACTGATTATATTTTCTACTAATCTTTTATAGTTAAAAATAACTAATTATTAGCTAAATTCACTTTTAGGTTGTGTGAAAATTAACTAAAAATTTTTGGTAATTCAGCAATTGAATCGTGAATTTTGAACAACTCGAAAAAGCGCATAAGTGTCATATTTTCGTATGTGAAAATCAATCTTAAGGTTTTCAGAGTTGATCCCTTTTCGAAATTCACGATTCTATTAGTTTTGACATACATACATACATACGTTATTGCGCGCTTCACTGAAAATTAGTTACTTTTTACAAAGAAGTATCTTATTTTAATATTTGGTTGCATTTTTTAGATATTAAGATATTTAAAATGATATCTTGAAAACGCTACCAAAACATCTTAAAATATACTTCTTTTTACAGTGTAATAATTAGTTATTTTTTTTACTAATTTGCAGAAGCAAAAATTCAGCCAAGGTTTTACTGAAAAATTAGTTACTTTTAATTAATACTTAAAGAGTATTTAAAAAGTTAAAGGAAGCAAATAATTAATGTAATTAATCTAATATATTTCAAAGAAAATTATCAAATATTTTTGTGCGATCTTGAAAAGAAAATAATAAACACACAGTATCATAAAGATCATGATCATCAATATAATTTAAGAGCCGCAAAGTGAAAGATATTATCACTCCTTGATTGATTTCAATAATTATTGGTGATGTAATTAATATCATGCGAGGCTGCTCCCTTATATGTGCATATATATATATATATATATATATATTATAAATATACTCGATATACCTACTTATATACCAGTTTAATCAAAGGAGGGGTGCGAAGACAGCCACACTTAAAGAGGAGTAAGATAACCTAAATTACAAGGTGGCGCACACGGTTGTGCGTGTGAAAGGTTTGCTGAATAAGGCAGCTCGCCTATATGTCAGTAAATATGTAAGTGCGAATCAAAGATAATTTACTCTTCAAAAAAAGGGTTATATCAGCACTTAAATACCTTTAGATCCATTTGATTAAGACGAAGGGAAGAAGGGTTTGATTTTTGACAGGATACGGCACATGCATATCTTTGCAAAAAATAGGACCCTTCAAAACAAACCAAAACGGAAGGAGATAAATGATAAGACCATTCAAGACAAATTTACTTGTGAATCACAGCGAAACAAATTGATTTTGTGCGCAAATACAACCAGAAAAAAATATTTCTTTGATTCAAAAAAAAATCAATTTCTTTAACAAATTTTTCTTTGATTCAAAGATATAATTATCTTTGTTTTAAAGAAATGTTTTCTTTAATTCAAATAAATGTTTTTTTGACCCTATATATAAATGTTAAAATTTCTTTGATTTAATGAACAAATTTCTTTCTTTATTCATTCAAAGAAAGAAAGAAAGAAAGAAAAAAGTTTCTTTGAAACAAAGAATCTTTTTTTTGTTTCAAAGAAAATTTTATTTTGAATGAAAGAAAACAAGTAAAAAAAATTGGTTTCTTTAAATCAAAGAAATCTTTTTCCTGGGTGTAATATTGAAAATTCTAAGGTATAAAAATAAAATATATACCAAATTGGATTAAAAATATAAAGTATGATTATTCAAATTGAAAATTAAAATCTCCTAATAATTTAAAAATAATGTATAGGTATATCAAATTAAACGTGCACAATGAATAAAAGATAGGTTTTTCTTAATGGACCATATAATCAAATGTATTTTAAAGTCAATTATTTAAAATATACACACATTCGCTAGTCTATTTGTGAAAGTATATTTTTTTATACGCATAAAAATTGTTATGATTAAATTATAAAGGTGCTTGTGTGTGCGTATATGTGTGTGATATTATCAATTTAACGGTTATCGCGGGTTGCCATTGCTTGCTCACGAGAAATTCTTGTTTTAAATGACTATATTGCATTTTTAATGCAAATATTTACAAAGACGTCTTCTTATCGAATGATGGTGAACGCTTATCGAAAACAGGTAGGATGTTTATGACGCAGCGACTGCGCGCGATCGTAAAAGGAATAGGTAATACTGGGGAACGTAAAGCGCGAATAAACGAGGTAATTTCGATGAAAAATTTATAATCCCTCTACGAGAAGAAGTGTTAAGATGTTTTATTTTTTTTATTTTTCACCTAACACTTGAACATGGTATATGTATAAATATAGTTAAAGTATATTATGGCACACTTGATTATAACTATCAAAGTATATATATACAAAGTAAACTTAAATTTATTTTAAGATTCTTCAAAATATTATATTTTTAAATTAAATCAGTTAAAAATATTTATATGGCAATTTTTCATAATTTCGTATGTTAATATTTTTAATTTTTGAGTTAATTTTGTTTTTGCGGACGAAATAAACTACATTGAAAAAAAAACTTTATTTGTGAAACAGCTATAAGTTTCACTGGTATATATATCGCTGATCCTGATAAAATAGTATTAGCAATGTAGTGTAGCAATATTAACAATACAGTATTATAGTATAATATTAAATATACTATATGGTAGTATTTCCAATATAGTATAGCAATATTAACAATACAGAATGTAAATACTTACAATACAGTATGGGAATAATAGATATAAAATACTATACTAATTTATACAAGATAGTAATGGTAATTTTTGCAATACAGTGTAGTAATATTAAAAATACAATATGGAAATATTTGTAATACAGTATGTAAATTTTTACAATACAGTATAGTAATATTAAAAATACTATATGGAAGTATTTACAATATAGTATAGCAATATTAACAATACAGTATGGGAATAATAAATAAAAACTATAAAATAATCAAGTGTATACAAGATAGTAATAATTT